GTCGAAAATTGAATTCGAAGTGCTACTCAGAGATATTAGGTGCGTTCGTTTAAAATCTCCAGCAGAAACCAACCAACTGCCAAATTTCGGCGAAATGTCATCTGTTCTCTCACAAGAGAGAAATATCCAAAATAGTACGCGAACAGAAAATTTGCAGAAATTTGCAAGTTAGACGAACAGCTGATATAATTTTTGTTTACATACAAAAGTGTAAAATTTAAAACGTACGAAAAGTCATCGCAAAGTGTTATACTGACACAGTTTATTGATTAAACAAATAACTACTTATTTCTTACAAGTTTAATTAGTCGCATTTTGTAATTTTTATCTTCCAAACCATCAAATTCAATTTTGTGATTTGCGTAAATGCCAACCAGCTATTTTTGATCAGCTGTTTTCCTGTTGGCAAATTGCTGTAGGCAAAAATTTTTCCAGCAGAAACCAGCAGCTTCCCCTCAAAATGAAATGTCAGTTTGCTCTCTCAATTTCCCCTACTTTGCATGTTTTTTGCGTACGCGAACGCAAAAACTTGTAAGTTTTGGTTAAACATGAACAATTAACAGCTACGCGAACGAACCTAATATGAATAGGTACATAAAGATACATATGTACGTTAGGGTGGTCCTCAAATGTAGGAAGCAAATTTTTACATCAGATTTCCGAAGCCTCAACTCCAACGTCGATGCTACTACAGTCGAAGATATCACATATAAATTTTGGTCCCGGTTAAGGCTTGTCGCAGAGGGGGCAAAGTTAAGATTCCTCTATGAAGACTCAAAAAATTAAAATAAATTTTTTTTTATCTAATATCCAAAATCGATACTACTTAAGTCAAAGATATCACATATCGACTTTAGTAGTATCGATGTTGGGTATTGAATGAAAAAAATATTTTTAATTTTTTGAGTCTCTAAAGAGGCATCTGGCATTTGACTCCTTTGAAACACGCTGATTGATCTGCGTATTAGAAGCAGGATTCCTGTTGATTGCCTCTCAGGAGCTCAACAATCATACATTAAGGGTGGTTCGATCGAGATAACTATGGTCATAAGCATCGGCGTAGCCAGAATGAAATTTAGAGGGGGGCCCGACCCTACTAAACTGGCATTTCAGGGTACTATTTTATTTATATATAAGGAAAATTTGAAAGTTAGGGGGGAGGGGCTCGAGCACCCCCATGCCCCTACCTGGCTACGCCCATGGTCATGAGCGTGAAGTCAATAGAGGAAGACTTCACTGTGAGTATTTTGCTCGACATCGAAGGGCTTTTAACTATGTCCTTCCAGTGGCAATTGTCAGGTCCCTACTTAAGCTCTTTCACTGCATGCGCTGGTGATTGCCTTTTGGATACTCTCTGTTATTTCATTCAAAGGTACATGAACCGGGGTTTCGACATAACTTCCACAGATATAACTTTCACGAAATCGTCGCATACATATGTTCCTCTAAAAACTTTTTCACACCATCGTAATTTACGGCTCATATCTAATTTAAAAGCAAATCATGAACTGAGATAATTTATCATAAAACAAGAAATAAATGAAGAAAAAACTGACTGTTATTTATTTTGGCTGCCACTGTCGAGGAAATTTTTAAAAATATGCTTTAGCAAATAAAATGAAAATGAATGAAATACCTAAAAGTATGCAACCATTTATTTTGAAATCAAGAACTGGAATCGAATTTTCCAACGAGCACAAACACTTCTGGCAAGCCTCAAGAAGTTCCCAGCTCGGGAAATCTCAAAATCTGTACAAGAAATCTTCGCGAAATTATATTGGAATACCCTGTGATCATGTGTGTTATGTTATGTGAATTCTGTAACAATTTTTCAAAGCTTAACAATTGCCGTTATAGCCGCAAAAAGACATAGCCGGAGAGGACGGTTTCACCCTATTTCGGGTATGGGGAATCGGACGGAATCATCTAAATACTAAAATTTTATAGGCTATAAAACGGCGTACACAAAAAGTGCGAAATTTTGATGAAAATTTCGTTTAATGGATTTTGTTGTAGTGTTCACTATATTTTTATTATCTAAAAATTAATAAAATTTAAATAAAGAAAATTATTTTCAAAAATAAAAACAATTTACTGAACAGTTTTGACTGACACTGTAGTTAAATTAAGAAACTTAAAGCTGTTTTTCTCGAGATTTAGATTTCTTGGATTATGACACTCTTGCAGCAAATGTGCGATTTGTGTAGTTCTTACTTTTTTTTTGGGCGCTTTAAAACTAATATAACCTAAATAACCACCACCTAGATTACGCCCTAATGTACTCGAAGCGCGAAATTTCAACTATTTTCTAACTAATTTCCACCGAAATTTCAAAATTTTCAATCTGAGTCTTTAGAACATTTACAAAATTTTAGTCTACTGATGTGTAAGTTTCGAGCGCTAAAAAGTCTCGTTGATTTTTAATATTTTTTGGTTTAGTGACAGCTTTTGCAGGTTTCTTTTATATAATAAGTGCATTTTATAAAAACTCGCGTTTTTTTTGAAATTTGTTGCAAATGGTCTTCCGCTTTTTATTTCGTAAATTCATGCCTATGTATATAGAAAAAAGTGCGAAAATCCGTCAGGAAAAAAAATGTATTAACGCAATTTTCTAGCCGCTGGGTATGCAGTGTAAAAGATTCAGATTGGAAATTTCGAAATCTTGATGAAAATTTGGTGAATTTTAAAAAATTATGTATAAAGTTTGAAACCTTGATATGTATTGTTTTGTTTAAAGCTTGGACAATATTCTTATAGAAAATTAAAAAAAAATTTAGCATGAAAAACATTGAAAATATTTAAAAACAATCAACGTGTGCACACTTATTTGAGTCACTGTGTGTACCTATGTATGTATGTGGCACTGAAAAAGTTGTTTAGAATAAACTTAGTGCAATGACACTTGCAATACTCTAACACAGGTATGCTAAATATGTATATTCGAGTATTTAATTGTTATTGCTTAAAAGCAAAACTTTCACCAAATTCGTGACCACGGTACAGGAAAGCCAAGCGAAAGAAAGCGAAATAGAAGAAAATGTGGTGCGATCACACCAAAAAAACCCAAAAACCTAATAATGACTAAAACAAAAAGTACCAACACACAATTGCAAATCAGGCTTATCTCATCATCACTGTAATGGCACTTCGCAATTCCCTTGACTAGCTTACCTGTGAATTGAAAGCATACGAAGCGCGATAAAAAGCGACCCAACGCACGCGCCACACATTTCCCTAAGGTCTTCTGAGTTTTATAGTTTCTCTACGACTTATTTTTATGCATCTGCAGGTACATATGTATGCATGTATGTCTGTAGATATGTTTGCTGTTGGTACCTTTTTCATAGTTGCCATTGAAAGTGAATTTGTGTTGAAGGTGTGTTGCTTATCAACGGGCGCTGCATTCATCCGTTTAGCATTGTTGAGCATACATAAGTAGATAGGTACTTGCGTACTTATTCGGTGATATCTGCCGCGTACATTGCGCATGCGCCACCGCACCATCGCATACCCACAAAACCATAAGCAATTGCATACAAATTTGCTTTTCGTGTTTCACGATTTTTCTTCCAAATGTTTTTCTTTTATATTTTTGATTTATTTTGTTTGTTGTCGCGTGCAATGAAATCGCCTCTGCAACATACATAAATAATATTCATTCAGTCATTCGGTGACTGAGCATCGTTATTTGTCTGCCAATATAAATTGCAAATTACAGTATTTACAAAGACAACAAATGAAAAAATGTAAATTATCCAATGACATGGCCTAAGTAATTTCTATTTAATATACATACGTATGTAGGTATGCATATAAACTGCAAATATTTGTCCTTGTACTGTGGGTTATTTTACGCCATTTTAGGTTGCTGAATTGAATGCATAGCAAGTAAAATTTCGGTAGGGGCAAAACTACATCAAGTGCAATTAAAATATATTAAATTTCCAACTGACTTATAGGAAAAATATTGACCGCTTTGAGAAAAATTGCATAAAAATGCTGAACTTTAGGGCCTTTCGAGGCACGTCTTCCTGTTGTCCGATTTTTTTTAATTTTCGCGGGCACACTTTTATGGCCAAATGAACATTTCTAGGGGGGTCTTGCTTTGTAGCTTAACAAAAAATTTCCTCTGGATCTGGATGTTAATCTTGACTCAGTATTAAAAGATTTTTTTTTTTACCTTTGCTAAATTTGCTAATTATATCCATAATTAAATATAATATGCTGAATGCTCTAAATAAAACAATGATATTTTTGGTTGTTACGAATGACTTTACATATTCCTATGCAACATTAAATGATGCTGAGAAAAACTTAACTCAAATTGAGTAGGAAGCATTTATATTTGGTTTGAAACGATCTTACTTTTATATCGCAGGCCAATGTTTCTTCGCTCAAGTCTACCACAAGCACTTGACCGTTATCTTCTGATCAAAAAGTGGCATCCCAGTTTATGCGGCAAACGGTCTACAACGCTCATCGTTTTAGTTTACAATATTGAATGAAAGTAGGGTCTTGCTGACTGCCTGCTATATATTAAAGTAGAGTTTTGCCTGTTTGATACCGAGATTTTCAGCGAGAATTTTTGTCTAAAAAGCTACAGTGAACCGATAGTTTAAAATCTACCTCAGCTCCTTCTCACAATTTAAACCATCAACGACAGTTGTAGCTCGAAGAGGCTAGAGAGTTCATATTTCGTGTTGCATATATATGTGGAGTTCTGTTGTAGTCCCTAAGGATCTACAGGGAACCATTTGAAACTGTAAAATTATATGAATAAGACACGTAAATATGTTGAAATATTTTTATGCAACTCAAGTCAATTTCACTTTTACTTTAACTTATGAAACGATTTTGAAAGTGAAAATAATTACTACTATTTTTGTGCGTATGTTTATTCACATGTGCATATGTATATCAGCTACTGTTTGCATGCTTACATATGTGCATACTTTCAAAAATTATTAGTAATTTAGTATGCATTAGATCTCCGCACTTACCGTTGTCAGTAGGCAACGCGACTCACGTATCGCGCCACAATATCCCATGAAGCTCATGAAGAACATCACAGCGCCGATAACAATCAAAACGTACGCCATCTGCTCAATGACACGCGGCTGTGTAAATTGCTGAAATGAAAGAAGATACAATAAAGAGTAGAAAACAAAGAAAGTTATTTAATATTTTTAATATCAAGTTTTAGAAGGAACAAAACACAAACCAAAACACTGCAATAGAAATATATGAAAGTGTAGTTTAAATAAACAAAGCAAAAAGTATTTGTTGCAATCAAATGAAAATGAAAAGCATTCTGTACGTGAGCGTATTCCCTTCAGGCGATAAAACTTGTTAACCATTGACTTGGTAAACAACGAATTTGCCACAAAAAACGTGCGAACAGCGGTAATTAACTCTCACTGCTTCTTTTTGTGAGTTTTTCTTCTTCTGCTCTGGCCTTACCAAAAGAGTTCGATATCAAAAGAATTAACTCAAATACATAAGTAAACTCTAAAAAATCTGTTTAAAAATGCGACTATAAATCGAGTATACTTTTGTTTATTTTTAAAATTTGTTTGGTAAATTTACACGATGAATATGTATGTATTTTTCTCCCTTACACATTTTCGTGTGTAAAAATCCATTTTGTTAGAGGTTTTACACAATTCTACGGTTGAAATCAAACAGAAGATGTGTATTTTTTGTAGCTTGTACACACTTTTGTAGTAAATTTACGCACACCACAGCAGCTACATATATTACACTCTAAAAAGTCCGAAATTTAAACAAACTATTCATTGAATAATCGAGCAAGTAATTTCGCCAATAATAAGGTTACTGATCTAACCTACTTTTTAGCTAGGAAATCTACACAATTTTTTTAGAGTGCACATATAAACTCACACTTGTACAAAGTATGTATTGGAACCTCGGCCGGGGATTGGAACCCAAATCCGTTCCAACCGCCAAAGCGCTATCCCTGTATCTCTTCACTTTTGAATGCCTGCTCAATGCAAATAATTGCACAATGGAGCAGATCTACGCAAGAGCTAAGATAGTCGGGCACCTTCGGATACCCTCGATATCAAAGTGGGTAAGCATGTATTCAACATGGGGAGATGGATTTCCACCTGACCCAACTATTTACGAGGCATGGTTGGTTCCGATCATACTTTTTTTTGTAATACTGAAGACCCTTAACACTGATTGTTTGTCTGTCTGCATTTTTGCAATCGAAGGGATGATTCGAGCATGAAGGTGAGGTGGCCATTTGGGATTAATAACCTGGTGGATGCTATGCTTGAGTCAGAAAAAACTACTCCATTGTTTGCAATTTGGTATACACAATTTGAACTTAATTGCGTCTGGCGGAACAAATCCGCAGATTTTCATTGAAATGCAATAGGCCGCTCCCCCTCCGCGAAATGATATCTTAAGGTAGTTCCACGGTGGGAGGGAAACGTAGCAGGGGTGTGTTTTTAGTGCGGTGAGCCGAAGGGCAAGCCCCACACTTTACGGCTTTTTCGTCAAACCTGTCTTTCGACTATTTGCCTATAGCACAGAAACACTATACTTGTAATTTAAGCAAATTTGCCGAAGAAATCATGAGTCCAAAATCAATTTGGAGTTTGCCAAATTGCGAAAATTGGTTTCTTAGCATTTTGCCGTAGTGTCGTAAAGAAGAGCTTAAATTTAAAAAAAAAAAACATGCTCGGTATGAGGAATCCATTTTTCACATTTTCTTCGAAAACTATTTTCCCAATATGGCAAACTCCAAATTGATTTTATATACCCCCATGGTTTCTTCGGTTAATTTCCTTAGAACTACACGTAGTATTCTCCTATGCTGTACGCGCATAGTCAAAGAAATTGACCCGCCCTAATGCATGTATGTAAATATGTTAATTTTGTATGATAATGGGTACTCTGTTGCACGTTTTGTTGAAACCAAAACAAATGTGACCACCTCAAGCTAAAGCAATATTGTATTTACACTTCACACCGCTGCACTCGTATCAATAAGGGTATTCACGATCCGGTGCATAGTGCCTAGCATGGTGCATAGATAGCAGGATTGACTATTTTGTAGTTGTTTGAACACATGAAACAATAATAATCATGCTATTTATGCTATCTATACACCATGCTAGACAGTATGCACTGGATCGTGGATACCCCTAATGTGTCAATTTTGAATTGCATGCATTTTGACCAAAGGAGTCCAGAGCAAACATACATACATACATGTAAGTGTATTTATCTCGAAATCGCTGTATTAATCATACTTTGTGCATTTTTCTGCATGCAATCGCCTGCTTTAAGCTATGTATTTAGTAATTTGTAGACACTGTGTTGCCACAGCGAGCAGCTGATGGGAGCACAGACCCATAAACGTCACGCTCACTTTTAACATGTCAGCGCTAATAAATAGGAAAATTGCATATTTCACGCTCAAATACAAAATATGGTACATTTTCATGTGTCGCATTCAAAACGCTCTAATTTTAGTGGTTCATTGACCACAGATTCCGCATTGCATTTCAACTTTTTCACTCCAACTAGTAGTGTTGGTATTATTATAATCAATTAGAGTTATTTTCCTAAAAACAAATATTGGCCACATGCAGGCAAATTAAGAGTTATGGGCATCGGGCAATGGGCTTGCAACACCGCGTGGTTGAGCATTTTTGCTTTCATTATCACGATTTTCACGTAACAAATTATTATTTTTTAATTTTTTCCACATTATTATAATGAAACTGCACAAAAACAACAATTTATTCGAACACGATTCGTGCCAAAAGTGAGCAAAGGGTGCGCACGCTAATCGTTAATACAAGTAAGAGTGTTGAAGGGTTACTTTTTAGGGAAAGTTGAATGAAGCATTGACACATCGAGTGGCACATTCTAAGTAAATTATTTTGCTAAGCATTTGTGTGCTTACAAGGCCCAACCCAAACTGATTTGAGGACAAGATTGTGGGTCAATGTAAGTTCTCAGTTTATATGCTATTTCCGCGCAATCGGATTGTCTTCTGGCTATTGTTCTAATGTCTGCTGTGTTATTCTTAAGTACTATTTTATGTTTTCCTAATAAAAATATAGGTCAAAAGCTCAACTATTTATGTATTCCATTTTATAGCTCATCATGGTTTCAATTAGATATTCAGAAAGTTATGCACAATACACAAGGGTATAGGTAGCAGAGTCGCCAAAGGAAACAGAGTAATACACTGAGCAAAAATCCATGGAGAAATCAATTGTTTGCAGTTATAATTCCAAAATATGGATCTTAAGGTCCACTTTGTAGAATTTTTTTTCTCAGTGCGAAAATCAATTCCTAATCAAGCGTACGATTGTGCAAAAATTGCCGATGACGTTTAATTTCTTATTCTACTCCGAATATTTCGTGCCATTTGGTGGTGAGGGAGAATAAAGTTTATTATCTTTTTATGAAATAAAGACATATTAAACTAACCAATACATACGCATAATACACATAAATTAAATAAATGCTTATATGTATGTATGTCCACCCCGTAACAACAAAGAGGTGGCGGCCATAATGACAAGCCATCAAATCTTGATAAGCCGGCAGGGACACGCAACCATAGACAGGTGCACAGCCACAAGAGTCAACAAATAAAACAAATAAGCCGCCAGCTAGACGGCTAGCTACATATTTAGTAAGATAAGTAAGATAATTTTGAAAGGAAAGTCAATTGTAGGGGTTTGCTTTAGTTTTTCTGGTGAAAAATATACGCAACTGTGAGGGTTGCTATATGCGGTGGGTGGGCAGCAGTACAAAAAAAAAAAATTAAAATGGACATTGTACAATAAGTTAATTGAAGTGATTATGTGGCGCTGCATTTGATTTTAATCGCTATTTGGCATCATTATGTATTTATGTACCTGTACATATGTACATATGTATGTGGTTGCATTTTAATTAAAAAAAAAATGTATACTCACGTTTATGTGTTCGCTATCCACCATCTTAAGCAATGCAATCAGTGAGGCTTTGTCGACCGCCAGCCAGATGCCAGTGCCCAGCACGATTGTGCCAACGACCTGTGGTTTGATAAAAGGAAAACAAACAAATCAATTTGTAGAAAATATAATGCATTTGCATTGAAAATGTTTAGTAGTTGTGAGAGTATTATCACAAAAGTTATAAAATGCTTAGTATAAACACAAACACACAAACAAATGTAATAGCCATATATATTGAGAGAGTAGCGGGAGCGGGGGAGTATACATAAATTGCGAAACAAAATTTAATCCGCGTATTTTTGTAATTTTAGCACTTAAACGTGGAATAACAATGTCATTCATTTCTACAACTGATTGAAAACTGTGTATATGTAGGTACAAATTTGTTTATTAAACACAAATATGTATATATGTGGTATAGGCATACAAGTGTCCGTATGTATGTATATTAGGGTGTATTACTCTCCATTTGAAAAACAAAAGGTCGGTACTGTTTCTCTATCGGAAATATACAAATTATAGTTTTTAAAGACTTCCGGAAACAATTTTAAGATTTACATGAGCTGTTCGTATTTGAAAATACTTACAAAAATCGATTTTTTTATATAAATAAATGATCAGATGATAGAAGAGTTTAAACTTAAAAATTAATTAATTAATGCAATCAAAATAATGCAATTTTTTGAAAATTTCCGTGTAAATAACATGCAATTTCTTTTTAACCGACTTCCAAAAAAGGAGGAGGTTATCAGTTCGTCGGAATATATATTTTTTTTTTTTTTTTTTTTTGTTACCGCATAACTTTGGACCACGTCAACCGATTTCGATCGGTAGTGTCTCAGAGGTGGTCCCATACTAATCTGGTTAAGATCCGATCAGCGGATCATGAGATATATATATATATAAGTTTTTTTTATATGAGAGTTGAAGTCGGTTTTTTTTTGCTAAAAATTACTTGTTAATTAACAATATTATGACTATTGAATCCTTTGAGTTAAAAATTTCTAAAGCTTTAAATTTTCTAAAAAAAAGACCCTGATTGTCTATTAAATTCGAAAAAAGCAGAAATATGCAGTTTTGGGGTTTTATGATTGGAAATATTCATGCTAAATGAAAAAAATTACCCTAAAATGAATGTGTAGAAAATTTTTATATTGAACTAGATTTGTTAGCGCAGAGAGAGTTTTAATACATTTATTTATTTTGTATTGCATTGTTAAGCATTAATATTCTTCCTAGTTATTAATAAAATTCAGTTCTTTGTCCTTCGTCGAAGTTCGATTATAATTTTGTATCAACGCTTTACCTCGTTCTGCAAAATCATTATCATATTTAATACCCTTATAATCGTCTCTAAGATAATTCAGGATAATTTTTTAGAGAATTTAACGCCCGACAAGTTTACGCCCAGAAAGAGTTTTTATCTCAAAAGTTAAAATTTTTAATGAAAAATAAATAAATTTGTAAATGTTATTTACATGGAAAGTTTCAAATGCCCAACGACACCTTTTATATTGGATTAAAAATGTATCTAAATGGGAGCATTTTTTCGCTGTAAAAAAGTCATATTAAGGTCATAAATTCGTTAAGTTAGTTTTTTGGCTCATCCTAATATAAACGTAAATATGTATGTGGATATAGATGTAGCTAGACTATGTACTCATAGTAAATATGTAGTACTTGCGCATTTACGTTGTGGTTTGCTGAACTCGCCTTGGAGTGCAACAAATATTATTGTTTGTGGCCGCAATAGAAAGTCTAAACAAGTTTTCACTTTTATTTGTGTATTTGTTCGGATACCAAGCATTGCCCAAAGAAGAACGAAAAGCAAAGGATGTGTGCTATATTATTTTATATTCATACTCACAAAAAAGAGGAAGTTGAATAAGCATAGCAGGTATTTGGCCAGCCAAACGCCACAATCGGAACCCATTTTGACCGTTTATGTTTCTGATGACGTCGAAAAAGTTGTATTCTGGAATAAAAAAGTTTTGAGTTGTATTAATTTTATTTAAATCATAAAGTTATTTAAATAAGTCTTTATTTAAAGACATATTAAAAATCATTTGTAGTGTTTCCTGAAAAATAAGTACTTATATAACTAGAGTATTTAACCGTTTATAAACAACATGGTTTAAATAACTCTTCTTTTAGAGTCCCATATTCGAGTACCATTGTTAGAATGATATGAATCAAGATGACAAATGCCCACTCCCCATTTGTACCAGTGCAATAAAAATATAACTTTCTGGGAAATGGAATGCATACAAAATACATACAAAGCACATACGAAATTATAGTTTCAAGTTTATGCGAAGTATGCATAATCAGACCATAAAAAATATGTATTTCAACAGTACCGATTTGCAAGTGAACCCATTACATTATTATGCTTATATGTTAAGCACGCCCAATCAATTAACATTAGTCAAAATCCCAACATGGTGATAAAAATATGAAAGTCTAAAAACAAACGAAAAAAATGGGCCAACAAGCTAATATTTATGTACAGAAAACTAATAAATAAATGTACAAATATGTTACTAAAAGTAGGATATTATAAAATATCGGCAAATGTACGTATATTTGTATATACATATGTACATTAGGGTGGATAAGAGCGATTTATAATAGAAACTTAAAAATTGATTGTAAATTGTTGTTTCCACTGAAATTATAAAATTTATTGTATTAAAAAACCTGTGCCAAAATATTTCGGAAAAACAGCGAGATTTACGTGAGCTAGACCGATTTGAAAATACATACATAGGTCCCAAACTCCATTACTTTGATTCCGTTGATAAAATTCTTAAACATTTTTATGCAGACATTTTTAGCTTAAACTCTTCTATCATCGGAGGTGATTTTTTGGAAAACATATTTTTAAAAACTAGTTTTATTTATAAAAAAATCACGTAAATCTAAATATTTTTCCGAAATATTTTGGCGGACGTCTTAAAATATAATAAGTTGTATAATTCCGATGGAAACCCTTACCGATTTTTTTTTTTTTGTATGGAGTGTGTTGCACCCTAATATAGTATGTATGTACATACAACAATTTACAGTCCATTTTTAAATTTCCATTATTTATTGCTCAACGAACTTTTAACCAAAAACATGTCTGACTTGACTTTCGTTTTAATATTACACTTTCTAATTAGCAGCGGCGAATGGTAGTCAAATGATATGTTACTGGCTTGTGCCAATATTTTGAGCGCAGGCTACATTTTTAACAGCCAAATAACACATTTCAGTCACATATTCGCAAATGCCAACAGACAAACGAAAATACTATATAAATACATATGCACAATGAAAAGTACATAGAGCAAATTGAAACTAAGCTAGGGCTGCCAGAATCCTGAACCCATCGACTAGGATATAGGAAGATACTAGTGAATACGGTGCCAATATCTTCCTAATAAACACTTTTTCTTTGGTTCTGGCGTTGCATTATTTTGAAGTAATTTCTGATATTAAAAGCAATATAGTATTGTCATTTTTTCACAAAACCATTTTTTAACAAAAACCATATGCGTAAGCCTAAATTTCAAACTTTTGAAAATTACAAAAATTCACTTAACTTTTTATTTAACATTTTACAACCACTACAATTTTTCATTACGAAGTTAGTGAGAGTTTCAAGTGGCGAATTCTTGCGTGGATGATTTTTTTCCGGTGATATTATTTTTTTCTTCCTTACAAAAGAAATATTCATTCGAACATAGAGTAACTTACATGAGTTTTCACGTGATTTTTTAATTTTCAAAACGTTTTTCAAGTAAAATTTTTTTGGTATTTTTGTATAAAAATTTTTACAAAGCTTTAGACAAAACAATATGGGTATTCATGGACGCGTAAATGCCTCGTAACTGCGTAAACCTTGTAAATAATTCGATTTTTCATACAAAATTAAGTAAGTTTACGAGGTTTACATGGTTATGAGGCATTTACGCGCTTTGATGAATTGCCCTAATATGAATCAGAATTTCAAATTTTATACAAAATTTCTAGCTTTCATTCCGAAACTTTACAACGTTTTTGTGTATATCGTTTTATAGTCCCTACAATTTTAATCTCATAAAGAGCAATTTTCAAGCGGCTAAAAAATCGCGTTGATTTTTAATAACTTTTTTGGTGACTACTTTTTCGGTTTATTTAATAGAACGAGTGCAATTAACAAAAAGTGGCGTTGATTTTTTTTTAAATTTTTCTTGCGAACGGTCTCCCACTTTTTATTTCAAAGGAAACGCAGGGTTATATGGAAGAAGGTGCGAAGATTCTCCATCAAATAAAAAAAATATTATAAATAATCGCGATTTTTTAGGCTCTTGAACTTCATGATACTAAAATTACATGGGCTATAAAACTGTATACACAAAAAGGTTCAAAGATTCAGATTAAAAAGCACGAAATTTTGATGAAAATTTTATGAATTTTCCTAAACTTTGTATAACGTTTAAAACTCTGATTTATGTGGTTTTGGCTTGTACAATATTTCTATAGAAAATAAATATGGCTTGAAAAACGTTGTGAATATTTAAAAAGAAATCAACATGTGAACATTTGTGTATTTTGTGTGGAAAAAAATGTGTGAACACCGCCAACAAAAAAAAATCATCAAAAATCAACGCGAATTCTTAGCCACGAATCTGCCAAAAATTAATTGGGCATCTGCATTGACGTTCATTAAAAATCAGGATAATTTAAGTGTGGACCAGGACACCAGGACCATTTTATAAAACCAGAACAAATCATGGAAAACCAGGACGTCTGGCAGCCCTAAACTAAGCACAAGTTGCAACATACATACATAGTGTCACATGCACTTTTGTGTATGTGAGTATGTTATATGTAGGTATGTATGTTGTCAGTAGGTATAAATATGCATAATGGCTTTGTTCTTGTTTACACTGTGGTAAGCTAAACAAACAAATATGTACCATGCAACTATAATAACAGTAAGCCGCAGTCAGACAAATATTAAAAAATTAAAAGTAAAACTACGCAGACACAATAATCACAGCAGATGTAACTGTACATATACATACATACTTACATATGTAGATACTCATCTCTGCAGAAAATCATAAAAATTAATTGTTGCTATCGTTCTTTGGCTGAGGAAGTATGTGTGTGTGTGTGTGTGTGTGTGCGTGTGAAAATTGCAGTTGTCATCGGCCATCGCAATGCATTGCTGTGAATAATGTGACAAGTCATACGCGGCCCAAAAGTATCACAATCGCAACTAACATATTCACGTACGTAAATATGCACAAATAGATGCGCTGCCTGCATAATTCCTCTGAAGACCGCAAATCGTTTGTGCATTTTCCACTGTTGCACCTTACCGTATATTACGGTTAAGCCACGACTAAATCGGTCTGAGAAAAGCCCTCGAGCCTTATGCTGACACGCTAAAAATATATGAGTACATTAGGCTGGTCCTTAAATAAAGGAAGTAAATTTTTATATCAGATTTCCTAAGCCTCAACCCCTACGTCGATGTTACTATAGTCGAAGATATCACATATAGATTTTCCATTCCTCTATTCTATATCTATAGATTTTCAGATTCCTCTATAGAGACTAAAAAAATTAAAATTGGTAGTATCGATTTTGGGAATTAGATGAGAAAAAAATTAGTTTTAATTTTTCGAATTTCCATTGAGGAATCTGCGACACCTGTGATCGATATCTGTGATCGTGGTATTACCGATTGAAGGGTGAGACTGAAAAAAAATCCTTCATTTGATTTTAAAGACCACCCTAGTCTACATACACACATATGAAACGCAACGGAAAATAGTTGCAGGCACCATTTTTGTAAAACATGTATGGAAGTAGAGTTTTTGATGTAAACATTTTCCACTTACAAAAACAAAAACCAAATGTAGCAAGTTGCGAAATGTATTCATTGGAGATATATTTGATTAAATGCACTCTTAGATAAGGTGGACGGTAATTCCTTTAAATTATGGATCCGAGTCGATAATTTTACTCCAGTCTATTTTTAGTGTTATTTATTTAAATCGTTAGTTCTAAATAATTAAGGGAAAGAAAGGAACTTTATCCATTATGAAAAATATATTTTTGTGTTGTTTATTCATGGTCAAAAACCTGTACCACTTTTCCCCGCTTATTATAAGATCATTGGGGAATTCCAAGAACTACTTCGCGGACATAACCCTTGCGTTAGGTTATTTAAGACGGCCTTGGAAGTATGCCTTCCGTCGACCGCCAAACCATAATATTAGCAGATAAATCGTGAACGTGAAATGTTGGTGAGAATGTTGGACCAAAATGTTTTAATAAAAACAGTTTAAAACCAACCAAGTTTGATGGATAATCTGAAATCATACCTTTATCCTAATTGAAAGTCTGTTCAGACAGGCCGTTAATCGAGCAATTAGCCAAGCTTTCTTGATTAAGGCGCTAATTGAGCTCGATTTACCACAAAAAATTTAAATCTTAATTGGTCGATTAGTGCTTCATTGAATGCCAATCGAATGCATGTTTTCATGAAACCCTGCAGGGTATGTTTAATTTTGACTTTTAGGTATGTTTATTGAACAAATAGTAATTAGCTGTTTGTTTCTGGTCTTTGTTTTTGCAGCTGATATACCATCAGGGACGTAAAATTGAATTTTCAAACTGTACCTAGTGCGCGGAAAAACTTTACCTAAAAGTAGATAAATGTACCTAAAACCTAGCTATAAGAAAAAATTATTCGAGCAGTTCAAGACTTTTCTCCGAGTTCTTCGATCTAGCGTTTTAAAAATAAATATCTTATATATACATATAATACGCGAAGCGACTTTTTGTCCGGGACAAAAGATCTGTAACGTTCGCCCGATTTTCAAAAACGAGATGTGAAATTAAAGCGCTTGATCTGTAGATGTGCAAACTCAAATTATTTAATAATCAATG